TATTTAAATTATATTAAATGTGTCATTAATATATGTATACATTAAAGGGAAACTCTCATTATAATTGAAGCATGATTTTCGATTTCTTATTTTCTGTTCCTTCCTATTATCAATCCAAAGTTAGGTTATCAGCCCTGCCCCTCCATGAATGGGTAAAATTGTGTAAATAAATAAAGTTGTTATTTCCTAACCTTGAACTTAAAACTTGAACGTTGTTAACGTGTACAATTATCTAGTCATTGGATTAAATTAGCGGATTTAAATTTAAAACTTTTATACATTGCAGATTTAACCAATCAAGTCTTTTTTATACACAAATTTATGTCTTTGATGTTAGTCCTTTTCAATTATTGATTATTGATTATTATAGTATGTGGTTCCAAATATCAAAAGAGAAAATTATAGTACAAGCCTCTATCTCGTGCCCATATCGAATTAACGTGCAAATGAATGCAACGAACACTACTATATATCTCAACCACAAAAATCAGTTGACTGAATGATGCCCTTGGATAGATCTCCACTCTCCTCTCCAGAGCCATGTAGGAATGGTTTTTTTGGAAATATAGTAGTGCGGTTTGTTTTATGCTGCACTATTTTTAATTATTAATGAAGGAATTGACTCTAATATCTGAAAGCTTATCTCCTTGTTAATGGTTTGTGATACAATATACTTTCTCTATTCTTCTTTTAGTACGTTTTATTTTTTTGTCCAATAAATTAAGGATATAATAATTTATTAAAAAAATTTTGTATTCATCATTTAATTAGTTATCACTTAAATAAGATTTATTATTTAATATATATCATAATCATCTTTTAAAAATAAAAGTATGTAAAATAGGAATAATCACTTTAAATGAAGGTCTTGTTTGGAATGTTTTTCAGTTGCTTTAGTTTTTGGTTTTTTTTATCTTTTCATTATCTTAAAAATACATAAAATATTAATTCAAATAAAGATTAAATATATCTTATATATTTTGCAATATCAAAAAATTAAAAAAAAAAAAACAAGTACAGTTATAAAATAATACTATTAAACCAAGCCAAGATCTTAAAAAAATTAAATTAAATAATTAAATTTAAATGCTTCGAATTAAAACTTAAATCTATTCAAGTTTGAACAGAAGAAATATTGTAAGATTTGCCGATTTGCTGAGTTGTGGAATAAAATCAATGAAAAGTATAGATCCATGCGTAAGGTGGTCATTTTGTCTGTCATATTCTGTGCCCACATTACTTATATTCTGTTCCCACGTTACTTATATTCTGTTCCCACGTTACTTATTTCTTGGGAAGAATCTCATGATGCAAATGATGCAAAAAATGCGATTAAATATTGGACACTATTGATCGTGGTGTGGTCCCCGTAAGCCTAGCTACATGATAAATTAGTGAAACCGTATTTCATTTTACCTGTGTATTTGTCCCACCGATCAGTACCCTTCTTAAGATCATGTTATCAGGCATTCCCACTTATAGTTTCATTCACGTATTCAATTTGAATGGATGGATATTGGCCGAGCCTTTAGATACACATATGTTTTTTGTTCATTAAGATGAGTAGTATTACATTCTTTTGGAAAGCATTAATTATAAGATGTACACATAATTCGTATATTCTTGATGGAATTATTCATTTTCAAATCAACGTACCAAAAGCTTTAACATGGAAAACCTGCAAAAACCAAGAAACCTTATTCAGAAAAACATCCATGCACTAGGGATTGGGACTTTGACAAGGGAAAGGTAAATACAAAGTATTCAAAGAGGAGAGAAGTAACCTCAACCTAGTTTGTTTCCCGAGAAGTAAATTTAAG